ATTTTAGGCCACTGAGCCCGGGACTCGAACCGCAGTCGACTACATGAGAGTCCAGCAATATAGCCATTACACTAACTGCTGGTCCCGTCCGTCACTCTGTTTCCAAGGCTCACGTACCCTGAGTTGACAGGAAGGGATTCTCTAATAAGGGCCGAGATGCCAAGAAATGTTCAGTGCTCCAGTTTTCTTACTGAATCCCTGAGGCTTAATGATCCCGAAGCCAAGTACAGATTCCTCCCATTCTTGTAAACAAAGATGACACTCATGAAGCGCTCCACTGAATTGTCCATGAAGCCATGTGTGCGGCCGTGCCCTTTACGATCGGGGCCTCTATCTAGCTGACCTTGGATTTTGCTGAAGACTGGACAGCACTGTCGGGCCGGAGCTCATGGGGCTCGCATCTGACATTTGTGAGAAATTTAGCATTGACAAAAGAATATCTGGGTCTGAGAAAGAACCCCCGTTTAAGTTGTCTACTTCAACCGTATGAATTTAGCAGAGGAAAGTACAGTTCGTGTGGCGAGAACACCCCATGTGCCACTGACATGTTCATCTAGATTTAATGAAGATTCTATGTGGAACCAGCAGTTAGCGTAATGGCTATGTCGCTGGACTTCCATGTAGTCGACCACGGTTCACATCCTGGACCCAGTGGCTTAAACTCATGCCGGGCGCATGTGTGTGCGTGCCCAAGATCCCGAGAGGAGAATGGAGGAGAAGGGATTGTGGTGTGGCCATCCCCCCAGGGGGTCATTTCTCGCTTTCTGTCTCTCTGTCTCTCTCTGTCTATCTGGCGAGCACATGCGCCCTATAGCGAAAACCTCTAAAAAATAAATAAATAAAACAGGAGTTTTCCCAGGGTGAAAGAAATTGGAGGAGTCCTTATGAAAGCGATGGGTGATTATTGGGTTGCTGGGAAAAGCCCAAGCAGTGGACTGTATGTTATTTTGAATGAATAGAGTGCAAACCTGACTAAAGTAAATCCAGAGGTAAATAAACTGCAGTGCAGCTCAGTAACATATTCTTGGATTGACTCGCTGGCAACATCTTTCTAAAAACTCAGCATTTTGTTTACCATGGCAAACTATGATTATATTATTTATTTTATTATTTTTTGAGAGGTTTTTGCCATAGGGCATGTATGCTTGCCAGACAGACAGAGAGAGAGACAGAGAGACATAAAGTGAGAAATCACCCCCCAGGGGGGATGGCCACACCGCAATCCCTTCTCCTCCATTCTCCTCTCGGGATCTTGGGCACGCACGCACACACGCCCGGCGTGAGTTTAAGCCACCGGGTCTGGGACTTGAACCACGGTGGGCTACATAGGAGTCCAGTGACATAGCCATTATGCTAACTGCTGGTCCCTGATCATATCATTGACAGGATTAATGACAATAGTAAAGCAATACTTGCTTTGAAGAACCAAATTTCTGCTTGATTGGTTGATCCCCTGAGGTTTTTTAATTTTAAATATTTCTGTGGAATTAATTAAAGGTAATCAGCTATATCTCTGTCATTCTACTTTTTGGATATTATGTGAATATTTTATTAGAAAAGACTCATACATTATTAAAGTTTTTAAACTAGATTAATATAGTTCAGAAAAAAGCCTTGCGAGACATCTTATAATGTTCAAAACCAACAACCAGTTCTAATTTTCTGTCAGGTTCACCTGAAATCTAGAGTCCTAACTTTAACCTAAGGCTTAGAAAATCCTGGTTTGGGGAACCCAGCAGGTGGCGAGGTGATTAAGGCATGGATATGCCCACATGGCCGACCACAGTTCGAGTCCTGGACCTGGTGACTTGCTTTCTCACTTTCCCACTCTCTCTCTCTCTCTTTCTCTCTCTCTGTGCGTGTCTCTCTCTGGTCAAATGAAAATAAATGAATTAATAAATAAAATTAAATAATTCTTTAAAAAAAAAGAGAAAATCTCAGTTTGGGCTCTGTTATGTGTGTGTGTGTGTGTGTGTATGTGTGTACTGCATAAGTTACATCAAAACTAGTAAAATGCATCTAAAGCAATGGAAAGAAATTGACGGCCTTAATGATAGCTTGTTTCACGAATGCTGATATAGCTTCTCTGGTCAGTCCACTCTAAGTGCAGGTCATGATTGTTTCTTTATTCATACATACTTTGGGAATTATTTTTTCAGTTCCAACCCCAATGCATGATGGGGTTTCAGATTTATCTATCTATCTATCTATTTATGGAGAGGTTTTTGCTACAGGGCGCGTGCATTCACCAGAAAGACACAGAGAGAAAGAGAGACAGAAAGGGAGAAATCACCCCCCCAGGGGGATGGCCACAATCCCTTCTCCTCTATTCTCCTTTTGAGATTTTGGATATGTACATGCACCCAGTGTGTTTTACAAAGCCACCGGGTCCGGGACCTGAACCGTGGTCAGCTACGTGGGAGTTCAGTGACATAGCCATTACGCTAACTGCAGGTCCCTCAGTTTTATTTTTTATTTTGATCTTTTTTAAGTATTGTTTTCTAATTTTAGTCAACTGCCTTTAGAGAAAAGGGTGTATAGTTGGGATTTTCTGAGTTTGCCTATGTAGCCTGTAATATAATTTCATGCATGTTCCATGGATGCTTAAAAGGTATGTGGATTTGGGACCAGCAGTTAGCGTAATGGCTATGTCACTGGATTCCCATCTAGTCGAGTTCCGGACCCGGTGGCTTAAACTCACGCCAGGCGCGTGTGCGTGCGTGCCCAAGATCCCGAGAGGAGAATGGAGGAGAAGGGATTGCGGCATGACCATCCCCCCTGGGGGGTGATTTCTCGCTTTCTGTCTCTCTGTCTCTCTCTGTCTGTCTGGCGAGTGCACGCGCCCTATAGCAAAAACCTCTCAAAAAAAAAAAAAGTATGTGGATTCTCTTGGGTGGCGGTTTCTATGGCTCTCTGTTGAAGTTGGCTGATGTGTACTTAACTGCTCAGTTCTAAGAACAGTATGTGAAACCCTTCTCGTCTGTTCCTTTAACGTCTCTTTCCCATTTGGAACAAGCCAGTGCTTATCACCAGCTAGCACCCGACCCAGGTATATTGCACGCAGGCAGTGGAGGCCTGACCCTGCCGACCAGTCCCTGTGAAGCAGCAGTAATTCCGCCTTTGCCTTGCAGGGTCCTTGAGGACGAGATTGAACAGCTTCGGAATGAGCTCAGAGAGACAGCGGATGAGAACGGGCGATTGTATAAGCTGCTGAAGGAAAGGGACTTTGAGATCAAACACCTCAAAAAGAAAATAGAAGAGGACAGACTTGCCTTTACAGGTAGTTTCACCCTCGTTGCGACAGTCCTTGTCCTGAAGTCCCAGTGGGCTGGGTCAGCTGCCGCGGAGCCTGCAGGCAAGCAAACAGCAGGTTCCAGAGGGCAGGCACCTACGTGTGAGCGCCGAGGGTCAGTTGTGTTCAAGTTTGTTCAGATGAGTCCTGGGAGGGAGGAGAGCTTAGAGGAAGGGTGGGCCCGGGGAGACTCACACAACAGGAAATGGGAGCATAAAGAACAGTGGGACAGGGACCAGCAGTTAGCGTAATGGTTATGTCGCTGGACTCCCATTTAGCCGACTACGGTTCGAGTCCCGGACCTGGTGGCTTAAACTCATGCCAGGTGCGTGTGCGTGCGTGCCCAAGATCCCAAGAAGAGAATGGAGGAGAAGGGATTGCGGCATGGCCATCATCCCTGGGAGGTGATTTCTCGCTTTCTGTCTCTCTGTCTGTCTGGCAAGTGCACACGGCCTATACCAAAAACCTCTTAAAAAAAAAAAAAAAAGTCCCAGGAGAGGCAGCACTAACTATGCAGTGCCCGCTGCTGCTGCTCTAGAAGGGTGGCTGAGACAGTGGAGTCAACTGTTCTAGGAAGATTTCCTGGGACTCTGCCACCCTCAGTAGGATCTAGGCTGGACCTTGACCCAGCAGGTCTGGGCTCAACCAGGATTCTGTTAATGCAGACTTTGGTCCAATGGATCTAGTGATGGCCTTGGTTTTGCGGGTCCAGGGATGACTTTGGCGTCATGAATGAGCTGGACATTGACCCTGCGGTTATAATTTTGACCGAGCCTTGGCCCAGCAGATCCGGTGGGGACATTGACCCTGGTTATGTTCTGCTACACGTACGCCCATTAAGCAATCTCCAGGTGGCTTATAAAACAATTAAAGAGAACAACTAGTCTGATACAGCATCTGCTGGAGTGTCCCTCCCTGCTTTGAAAGTAAAGGCTTTATATAAAAAATAAAATAGAGGTGGGACCAGCAGTTAGCGTAATGGCTATGTTGCTGGACTCCCACGTAGTTGACCGCGGTTCGAGTCCCGGACCCCGTGGCTTAAACTCACGCCGGGTGCGTGTGTGTATGCCCAAGATCCCGAGAGGAGAATGGAGGAGAAGGGATTGCGGCACGGCCATCCTCCTTGGGGGGGTGATTTCTCACTTTCTGTCTCTCTCTGTCTCTCTCTGTCTTTCTGGCGAGCACACGCGCCCTATAACTAAAAGTGTCTCCAAAAAAAGAAAAAATAAATAAATAAAATAAAATAAAATAGGGGCTGGCAGGTGACATGGTGGTTAAGGTGCTAGACTCCCACCTGGCCAACCATAGTTCATAGCTGTCTTTTTTTCTCTCTCTCCCTTTCTCTCTCTCTCTCTCTCTGTCTCTGTCTCTTTCTGATCAAGTTAAGCAATAGTAATAACAAATGGGATGAAATAAATAAATAATTCTTTTAAAAAATAAAAATGAATTTTATCGTGTATATTTGAGGTTTGCAACATGTTGTTAGGGGATACATAGAGATGCAGAGTTACATATGGCTCCTTGCAGTAGTCATAGCATAATGTAATGGTTGCTATAGTGAAACAGATTAGCCTATCTATCAGCTAACATTGTTTGACAAGAGCAGCTACGTATTTAACAAAAATGTATTACCTATTTCTTTATCTATGCTCTTATATAAGTAAACAAAAATCAACTTTTGATTGTTTTATTGATTTTTTTTTTTTGTATTGATTTTTTTTTTGAGAGAGAGAGATTTTTGCTATGGGGCACATGTGCTTGCCAGAGAGAGAGAGAGAGAGAGAGAGAGAGAGAGATCACCTCCTGGGGAGATGGCCGCACTACTGCCCCCTTCTCTTCCATTCTCCTCTTGGAATTTTGGGCACACATGGACCTGACGTGAGTTTCAAGCCACTGAATCAGCAATTCGAACCACTGTCAGCCATGTGGGAGTCCGGTGACATAACCATTACACCATCTGCTGGTCCCTGTATTGATTTTTTTAGCCTCAATTTCATTTATTTTTGCTCGGATAATTACTATTTCATTCTTCCTGCTATTTTTAGTTTTGGTTTGTTCTATGTTGTTTATTTGGAATCTTTCTCCTTTTTTGATGTAAGCATTGATTCAACTTCTCATTGCCATAAACATTCCTCTTCTTTTGGTATTTTGTGTTTTCATTTTCATTTATTTCAAGAACTCTTTAAATTTCCTTCTTAATTTCTTCATTGATGTAGTGGTCATTGAAGGATATATGGTTTAATTTTAAAGTTATTTGTACAGTTTCCAAAGTTTCTCTTGTTATTGATCTTTGCTTTTTTTTTTTTTTTCAGAAAAGTTACTTGATATGTTTTTGATTTTCAGAAATGTGTCGAAGCTTGTTTTATGGTTTAATCATATGTTCTATCCTGGAAGATATTCTTCAGGTTGACAAATTATTTCTTTAGCTTAATCAAAACTATTGTCGAAGCTTTCTACTGTATTTCTTTCTTTCATTGAATTCAGCTACAGAATTTCTGTGTATTTCTTTTTGTGTGATATCTGTCTCTCTGTTGAATTTCTCATCCAGATCATGTAGTGTAGTCCTGATTTCATTGAGTTGTATATCTGCCTTTTCTTGTATTTCACAACGTTTTTAAATGACCATTCTATTGAATTCCTTTTCAGGCATTTTGTATCATTTATTTCCTTCTCTTTAGTCTCTTGCTAGAGAATTACTGCGTTCTTTTCGGGATGTCATCTTATCCTGCTTTTCATGTTTCTTGTGTCCCCACATTAATATTTGCACAGCTATCAGTTTTATAGGATGACTTCGCGATGAATGACTTCCTCCTGTAGATGGGTTCTAGGATGATGGTTGGGTAGGGTGCCTTGGCTCTGGTTTCAGGCAGTGTAGGCTCACTATGGTTTCTTCAGCTGGCTGCTCCTGTAGGACATGAGAAGAGGGGTACTCAGGCAGCTCCCTGGCAACCACAGTTATGGGCAAAGTCACTGGCACAACCATTCCTGTGAAGTGTGGATGGGGAGGGCCTCAGCTGAATGCTTCCATGGGGCATGGGGGGGAGGGGAGGTGGCACAGGCAGGTGGCTGGAGGCCAGATTACTCACCAAGCCACTCCTTCTGAGGGACACAAGTGGCGAGTATAGTCACAAGGTGGCTTTGTGCAGTTGCAGCTTGGTTAGGACAGGGTACAACATGGCTTCTACTCCTCCTCCAGGGAAATTTTCTTTCTCTCTCTCTGTCTCTCTCTCTCTCTGTCTCTCTCTCTCTCTCCCACCCCTTTCTCCACTCCTCTGCAGACGGGGCTCAGTTTGTGAAAGCTACAAGATTCCACTGCAGTAAAGACTTCATTTGTCTAAGGTGTCTACGGGGGGTTCTTGCTTGCGCTCTCTCTCCGATATAGGAAGTCCCTTCCAGTTCTAAGCTGGTCTTGAGTGGGGGACTGAGACGTAGAATGCTTTGCACCCCTCTCTGCAAGGCCATACCGAGCCTCTGTGCTCCATGGCATCTCCACTGCACTCCCACCACACTCCAGCACTCTCCCTCTAGCACTCCAGCTCATATAAGCTGCTTTCGTTTTGGTCCTTTTTCATGGGAGGGAAGTGCATTAAGCATCTCTAGTTGGCCATCTTTACTTGAGCATAAAGGCCCTTGGTAGCATGAGTATCTCCCTTCATTCTTGGCCTCTTCTGTCTAAAACAAAAAAGCACACTGAAGACCAGACGTTGCGTGGTGAGGAATGGAATAGAAGCTCTCCACCTGGCTCAAGATTCAGCCGCAGAAGGGGCAGCTGTGTAAGGCTGTACAGAAGCTGATGGGCTGCAGGGGGCGCAGGAGAGGCACCTGTCCTCCTGCTGACTAGGGAGGCCGCACTTGGGCCACTCTGTCCTCCCCAGCCTGTCCCATTGTTCTCTGGTTCTTGCTGTCTCTGCCAGTGGACAGACTTGTTCAGGCTTCATCTGACTGTCAGCACCAGCTCTCCCTGAAGACTGCGTAAATCCAGTCCTCACTCTGAAGTCACCGTTACTGATTTCCAGCAGCACATTTGGGAGAGAAAAGTCTAACTGGTTCAGAGCATGTTTTTAAACCAAGCCACAGTGACAAACTACTGGCAGCTGATGGGTTGTTTTCTTTTAGCTTTTTTTTTTTTTTTTTTTTGTGTTTTTTTCTTGAGGGTGTATGATTTTG